CTCTATGGGAAATGTTTGGTATATCAGTAAGGCACTTGACTTCCGACCTCGAGGTCCCTGGTTCGAGTCCGGGCGTCTCAACAATTTTTTTTTTCACTTTTTTTTCTTTTGGACCTTCACTCTACCATCTCCTTTGAATATTAAAACACGTACAATCGCAAAATAATGTAAATAAACAACCATATTTACTTTATTATTACCCTGTTATCACTTGATCCATTACTTTTTGCGTGTAATCCTTATGGGAGATGACTTTTTCTCAACTCGGATTCTACATTCTTATCTTTTTGCGAGCAATATCGCCGTTATTTCGGCTTGGTTTTTGTTGATTTTTGTGTATGTTGTAGCTGAGCCTATATGCTATCTAAATGTCCCCTCATTTTTCAATCAGATGTCAGGATCACGCTCATGATCATCATCAGGGTTATCATTATCATCATCATGACAATCATGATCATGATCAAGTAGTTTATTTTTGTTCTTTATTTTTATTTATTTGCACACTTTTTGTTAACAGGATAACTCAAGATCAGTTTTTTTTCCATATTGATAGAGTATGAAACGGAGATATGATTTCATGTCTTATTTGACTCTCAATTAACTCATGGACGTCATCCGAACTCAAAATTTCAATTTGCATATTATGACGTCAGCATATTTTTGAAAATCGATTGTATCTCTGTAAAAATTAATTGATTTTCTTCCTAATTTTAATATGTTCTAGCTGAGATAATTCTCTACAAATGCAGTCGACACGATATTTCATTTTGACAAAGGAATCATGGCGTATTTTTGCGATTAAAGGAGGCCTGTCAATTTTTCACATTTTTATATGACTTTTTTTTTCAAAACTGGATTCAATATTCCCCTCTTTCGCGAGCAATATCTTCATCGTTTTTTGGTCTATTTCCCCCACAATTTAAGCATGTTATAGCTGATAATATGAGCTATCTTAAGTGTGCCTTCCGTTTTTTGATCTGATGTTGAAATCATGTCGAAATTTTCAATTGAAAGTTGAAATAGCGACTATGCCAAGGCCGTTTGTCAGCTTTACATGTATTGTCTAAGGGACATATTTTGGTATATTGGTTAAAGCACTCGACTTCCATTCCGGTGTAATTTTTTAAAAATTTGCTTTCGTTTCTTATCAGTGATTTTATCATCTTTTTCGACTACTATATCTCGATCTCTCTCTACGCTTTCACCCTCTCCCTCTCTTGCTCTGCCTCCCTCTTGATCTGCTCTAGCTGATGTCTCCCTCGATCTGTCTCTACTCTTTCACCGGCCAGCTCTCCTTTTCCCGCCTTTGGCTCCCGTTCTCCCTCTTATGTCGTATAGGATGTTCCTTAATTTCCTTTACCTCTTTCCTTTGCCCTTTGTATTCTTTTTCACCCCTTCCAAGTAGCCTATATGCATTCTGATTTCTCTTTCATCCCTCGGTCCATCTCATGTATTTTTACATGACTACCCAGTCTCCTTCCGTCTCCTTATATCTCACCATGTTTCACTTTGATGACGTCATCACAGTGACAATTTTGATTGAATGCGACATGTCAGAATTTTCTTAGTTTGCGTGTCATGCCTATTGGAGGTGACTTTTTCTGAAATCTGCATTAGGACATTCTAGTCTTGTTTGAGCAATATCTCGATTATTTTTTCTCGATTTTCTGCAAGCTTCGAATATGTTGTAGCTGAGAAAATTCTCTACACTTAAGGTCACATTTTTTTTCTATAAATCAGATGTTGGGATCATGGCGATATTCCAACGACAAGATGTGAATTGAAAATCCTATTTTTCGTTTACGTGTAATGTCTATGTGGAGTAAGTTGGAATTCTAGACAACACCGACGCAAAGCCCTGGACACCAGGTCGAGTTGTCCAGGGTGGGTTTCTTCGGGGGACAGCTCGACCAACTTTTTTTCTCCTCATGATTTCATGATCTAAAATCCCTCATCTTAGATAAATTTGTCATTTTATGTATTAAATATGCTTTTATAAACACCACCCCTAACCTAACCATAACTCTAAACCGGCGATTGTACGCCTTCGGCTCGTCAAAAATATATTCTCGTTGCAAAAAATATCAGCTTTATTCTTTAGAACAGCTCTCAAAATACTCACAATTTCCATGTTCCCTGTCATGACTGCGTTAATTATAAAAGCATTAATACATAAAATGACAATTTTATCTACGATGAGTTATTGCCAGTTATTCACCCCATGTATACGCAATGTTTACGTCTCTAGCTCCCACGGACAAAGAATTGTTTACATGTCAATACATTTCTCTTTCTATATATCTATCTACTCACATCTCGCTTAATTCTTTCTCCTTTCTACTGCTTTGTTTCCCTTCCCTTCTCTTGCTCTATTTCTGTATCTCTCTTTCTACTCTTTCACCCTCTCCCTCTCTTGCTCTGCCTCCCTCTTTTTCTCTTGCTCTGTCTCTCGATCCTTTTCTCTACTCTTTCACCCTCCCATTTTCAGCCTCTGGCTCTCGTTCTCCCTCTTTTATGTCTTTGGATGTTCCTTAATTTTGTCAATAAAATCTATTCTTCCTATTTAAAGTCATCATCTTATTGAAAGTCATCATGACAACTTTTACCATAAACAAAAATATTCTTTTCAAAAATAATTCCTAGGTACTGAGCTTCCTTCTCACATTCCTAGATAAATACTTATAAACAGTACGACATACACAAATCACTCAATTACTACATATCTCATGAAAATGTTTGGAACAAACTGTTTCAATTTTTACTGCACATAAATTATCATTTAAGCTTTATCAAGGTAAACCTTTAAAGTCAAACATAACATTCTTCATCTTATCAACCATTACATGATATCAGAAGATCATGACACAACATAGCTCATATCACTAAATACCAATCCTAGTCAATATACATATAGTTGTATATCCAGAAATCTCAGTTCTCAACCTATGGTTTAATCAACCAAGTTTTATAATGTACAATAAATAATATGACATTCTTACTTTTATCAAGTCATGAGACTTAGATACATTACATTTCTCTTGTATTTGAGTTGAAATCTGCACATGCAATTCTAAACGCAATTCTAAATGCAATTACTAAAACGTGTTTCCAATAATCTGATTTTTTGTTTTAAATGATATTATATAGCACCCGTACTTCAGAACGTTAATATCATGAAAAAGGTTGAGCATGGTTATAAGTCTACAAACACCTTTGAATAAAACCTTTGCTAAAAACAATGCCAACATAGCACAACAATATCATGCTGTGGGATAATTAGCATAAAAACAATCCATGTATAAATATGTATGACATATTCTGCACAAAGTTGAAAACCTATAACATGGCTATACGTCAATGTCCATATAGTTTGTATATAACCTGTTAATACAAAGTAGAGATTATCAAATGTTCACATCATCACCTGAAGACAATGTCTTTGACTCAAAATTAAACAATTA